TGAAGGCTGAAGTGCGCTTACCTGGAAGTGGAGTTCAAACGGTATTGTTTACTATTATTATCTATATGAATATTAGGGTTTATTACTAATAATTAGCATCATTATTGGTTTGTATGCCAACCTTGATGGCAACAATAAACACTGGAAAGAATCGCGTGCTTTAAAGCCGTTGTAAATWTGATGTAAATATGATGTAAGTGTCCAAAATAATGTAAATTTGATGTAAATCATTTCAAGTGAAAAGCCTATCACGGTGTTTACTCCTATACATGTTAACTACTGGAGAAGTACGTGTTTCCATAAGCAAMCTTTTTTCATTTATTCCCCCWATTTATCATTGTTGTTGATATCAAAACCATTTGATAATTTTACTTGTTGTTAATAATTARCAATGGTATYTGTTGGCAGATCTCATTTGAAGGTAATCGGGGGCAAAGTTGGCAAGGCGATATTGCTATTGACGATGTGTCGGTCATTGATTGTGGTAAGTAGCTTAATAATACTACTAATGATATATGGTCCTTTTTTGCTTTCTACATTTCTATATTTCCAAGTCGAATGTATATCTTACGAACCGAATCTTAATGGTTTATCTTAATTATTTCATTCAGTTTCACCAACAACTCCTGCACCAATTGTCTCAAGTAAGAAATCAATAGCATTCAAAATCATCTGAATGCTGCTTCTTTGTTTAGGAAATCATTTTGTTTTTATCCGTTTATCTACTTAATTTAGTTATTTTAATCTATTTCTTGTCTTAAAGGTTTTAAATGCGACTTTGAAAAGGATTGTGGGTTCAAACAACGAAAAGACGATAAATTCGATTGGACAAGAAGACGGGGTCGTACAACGTCCTCCTCTACAGGACCTGATACTGACCATACTAGTAAAAATGGTRGGTGTAGTCATTACCCTACCCCTACTAAAATCAATTTTGTCTCTAAATCAATGTCATCCCATCATGCTTCTCTTTGGCGTTAAATTTGATGGCCAACCTTTTAACATATGCAGTCACTTGGAAAATGTCTGACCGCTGACATATGTTTAATATTATGGCTGCAAMCATTTCTCTCTTTTCTCGCTAATAAAGATTACAAATCAGTCAAAACTTACACTGTTATTCAAAGCTATGGTTTTGTTTGATGGAAAATTAAACTCGTATTTCTTTCAAATAGGTTATTACATGTACATCGAGACGTCGTATCCAAGAAGGAATGGCGACAAAGCTGTTATGGAGACATCTGTCAGTGTAGGCAGTAACACTTGTTTGACATTCTTCTATCACATGTATGGRTWYMMTATTGGTACACTTAACGTTCGTCTTGGTAAGTCAGTGGTGTTTACAAAGACTGGACCACAAGGAAACAAATGGATCAAGGCAGAAGTGAAGCTCGGGCAGTCTGGTACACAAATGGTTAGTAAATAGCCAAACATTCTGACTAATGAATGATTCAAATATCAATTATTCTGACAACTTTTCAGCTGTCGTTTGAGGGCATACGTGGTAAAAGTTTCACTGGCGATATTGCCATCGATGATATCTCTGTAGGAACATGCGGAGGCGGTTAGTACTTAATGACATTGCAGCAAGACAAGATGAGTTAAATTTAATGTTTSTATGGAAACAGTTGTGATATACAATGATAAATTCGATACTATAAAGAGACTTAATCAGTACGTCGTATTGTGCAGTAAATCAGTTTCTGTTCATGTTTTTCTTCTATCTGTCAAAGTAATAACGTCAGCTTGATCTATTTATAGCTGGAACTCCACCTCCACCTCCAACTCCACCAACACCAGGCCCCCCTCCAAGTGGTACGTCAATCATATATCTCGAATCCACGTGATTTAACGATTGCGCATGCTCTAATGTATGTTATTCGTTTCTGTGACAACGCAATAATGGAAAAGCTTTCTTTTATTAAATTCATRCATAATTTTTTTCAACAAAAAAATCACATTGATTTTCATATCAAAGATTATATTTTTCATATTTTTCGAATTTTGAATATTACTTTGAGGCCATGAGGTCAAAGTCATCGCATTGGCATATGTCAGTTTCAAAGGTATCCATATTTTATCACATCATGCTAACCCCCATCCAATAATTGCTTCATATCTGCAGGATCGTGTGGTACTCGTCCCCATACCCGTATTGTAGGAGGCACAGCAGCCAAACATGGTGACTGGCCTTGGCAGGTACAGCTTCGTACGACTTCTGGCTTCCCGTACTGTGGTGGATCGCTTATTCATCCCCAATGGATCCTGACAGCAACTCACTGTGTCAGTAGAAAGCAACCAAGTTCCATCGTGATCAGGTGTGGA